GAAACATTGTGAAGACATTGATATTACTCCTAGGATATTTAGAATGGAAACAGTATAAATCGATCTACGTCTAGGTATCCAATTTTTAATATTTTCAAAGCTTCAGGTTGTGTGAATTTCTCCTCGCAAAAAATCTCTACTACAGGTCTATTATTTGGTATACCCTGCTCTAAAAACAGTTTTCAATATAGAGCCAAGGCTTGACCTTGACCAAGGCCTATTGTAATTAAAAAAAAATTGTAGTCCATCTTTCTATAGTCAAAATGATTGTAATGACTGAAATCTAATTGGGTAGTACGTGAACCATAATGGGTTGTTGTATATATGTATGTAAAAGAAATAGATCTTAGTTATTCTGCTTATAACCCAAAAACCGCTGGACACATTTTCACAATTCTCATCAATTCAGAATGGTCTCTTGCCAGAAAAGGATAATATCTGAGAAAATCGCTCAAAAATATGACAATAAAAATATTTTTGTCACATTTTTTCAATTTTGTTTAATTTTTTTATAGCATGCGATTTTTTCAATTCGACTTACAATTTTGAATTGTTAATTTTCTAAAGTTTTTCTACACCCTGCAACACTATTTGCTGAGGGTATTATATACATGTCACAATTATCGTGCGATATAATATAACATCGCATTTTTGGAATGATTTTTTTTTTAATTTTGGATAGAGCCTGTGATTTTGTGGATTTTCTTTTAAATTTTGCTGACAATTTCGTTATTTTGTACCATTTGACAACTCAAAAGAAAGTGAATGAATCTGATTTCAATTTAATTTTAATATTTTTACAACAGAATTCAATACATAAATTAGAAATACTTAATGAAAAAGTCGTGTGTTTTTGGCCCGGAATACTCATTCACCGAAGTGGTTTAGACTTTTCCGAAGTGGTTTAGACTTTTTCACATTTTATGTGGTTACGTTTATATTTTATCAGTTGATGGTCCAGGAATAGGTTTCAAAATGACTACGTCAGAAATTTTTTGAAGGTTGAAAATTCGATGATATTTTATCTAGTTTGTCATTCTGTTTGCAACACTTCGAAATATACATTTTAGACTAAACAAAGTTTATATATTCTTGATCAGCATAAAAATCTATGTCGATTTAGCAACGTCCGTCCGTCTGTGGAAATTACTCTAGCTTCCGAACGAAATGAAGTAGGTTGCCAAAATTATACTCAAATGTATATTATGTCTGCAGAACTTTTGGTATTGAAAATGGGCCATGTAGGTCCACGTTTTGGTATAGCCCCCATATAACGGTATGTCCTGATATTCGGTATTTTGATGATTTTAGCGACATTATTCACCGGAATTGTTTCAAATTTGGTATTTGAAGTTCGTAATGAATACTACAGCCTAAGATAAAAAATTGTCTGTGCAGGTCCACGTCTTTGTATAGCCCCCATATAACGGTACCTCCCGATATTCGGGTCCACTTCGTCGTATAGACCCTAATATAACAACTACATACGATATTTTTAAGATTTTAACAGAAATTCTAATGGACTCTATTTTTTGAAAATTGCCAAATTCGTTTCAAATGGTGGAGGGTATTTAAATTTCGGCCAGGCCGAAATTACAGAATTAGATTCAGAATTTGAAGCTGAACTGTGCAACATGGAGGCAAGTTCCCCACCGAATTGATTAAATTGTAGACATTTTCTCAAAAAAAAAAAAAAATCAATATGCTTTCTGGACATGCCGACGAAAGATGTTATAAAAAAGGAATATTTTGTGATGTAAATATCAAAAACTTAGAAAACTTAGATATTTCTGTGAGCCTGAATAATACTAAAATTAAATTAAACTGGGATAGACTACTAGAACTTATTGGCCTTGATTCACATTCTTTTAGTTCCTGAGGACATCACAGTCTTTCCGACTTTAAAAACAATTCTAACATTGTATGTATAATTTTCTCTATCTAAATCTAAATATCCTAATTTTTTTTATTTCTCCTTCGAGACGAGCTTAACGATCAAAAATTAATAGTGAAACTCAAGTAAAATTTCTGTTTAAAGTGAAAAAATTAAATTAAAATACAAAGTATTGACTAGCTTGAGTTAAACCAGGTAAACATTTTCGTTAATAGTCTCTCCAAATTTCACTAAACATCGGAAAAAATCGCAATCAACGTCATTATATTTTTAATCATAAAGTCGGAAATCAGATTTATTCTTTTCAATTTGAAACGAAATTTCCCCCAAAATATGAGAAAAAAAAATCTCTCGCCATGTATCAAAATTTCGAGGAGATTTCTACAAATATTTTTCTGACTTATTTAAAATTTTCATAATTTTTGCTGTATGTCATATGAATTAAAATAATTTCAACCTTCTCCATATGTTTTCTTTTTTTTTTCTCAAAATTTAAAATTATTATCAGGCATTGTAATCTTGATCTGACAGCAAATTCTTAGATTACTTTCCATATATTTGTTGCATTGGAAAATAAAATTCTTCCTCATTTAATATTATTTCTCAATACCCTCTTTAAAACCATTAAAAAGTGGAATTATCCATAATTTTTTCACGCTAATTTCCCATTTTTACCTATCCTTTTTAAGTTTCACAAAATTCAAATCCAAAATTTTGCATTTGGAAAAAATAAAATTTTCCCACACCCAATATTTTCCAATGTTCTCTGTGTAATATCCCTAAAAATTGGTACTTTTCTTCACTTTTTCCAGGTTTTCTTTTTGTTTGTGTTTAAAAAATCAAAAGACAAATTATTTTCAATTTTTTTCTTGTTTTGTGTTTTTAAACATAAGTTATTTTACACGTCATAAAGTTTTTTTATTCGAATTCAAATAAAATCAAATATATAAAAAAGACTTATAAACATAGATTTGTTGTTGTTGTGGTTTGTCGTTTTCGAAAAACTACTAAATTACAATTAACAAAAATAAAATTATATCCAATAATAATAATAATAATAATTAATAATAGTTATAATAATAAGTGTAGTTTGTTTTATCGTTTTTTGTTGTATTTTTGTTTTGTTTGTTTTTTTCATTATATATAGTAATAATCATATAATAATTTTGAAATATAATTAACATTTTTTATCACACATTTTACAAATTATATTTTTTTTGTGATTTTTGTGAAATTTGTTTTTTTTTGTAATAATTTTACAGGTTGAGAAAAATGTTGTGAGAAGAGAGAGAGGGAGAGGAAGATGAGGCGGAATGTTGTTTTGGTTGTCGTTTAATTTTTAATTTAATATACAAATAGTTTGTTGTTATTTTTTTAATATTTCAGTTCTTTTTCTGTGTGACTATTTTTTGAAGAATTCTTTCAATTCGGAAAAAAGAAAAATTGGGAAATCGAATGAGGTGTTGCTTTTTCTTTTCATTTTTGATGTGGAATCTTTAAATTGTCTGGAGAAAAGAAGTTACGCTGAAACACCAGCGGCATTTTAGAGGCATTAAAAACCTTGATATAAAGAGCTCCATCAGGACACTTAAAGACTTTAAATGAATTTTTCTGGAAGTCTTTGGAAAAGCCTTTTCCATAAAAAATTAATTTGAAAAGTTAATCATTTTCTGTGCTGATGTTTTGAGAGAGAAAGAGTCTTGACCCCACATTGCCGTCGGATAACTGAGAAGATTTTCTAATTTTCTATTTGGACTACGAGGTTTTCTTTCTTTTCGGATTTTTAGATTTGTGTGAATTTTCTTTTCTGCCATTTTTCTTTCATTTTCTCTTCGCTTTTCCTCCAAAAACAACGCTGAGTAGAGGAGAGAATTAACTATCGCTGTTTTTTGCTGGCTTCTACTTGGTGACGTTTTCTGGGGTTGTTTAAATTATTTAATTAATTTTCTAAATATTGTACGTATTTTTGTTTTAATAATTATTTATTTATTTATTTTTTTCATTATAGTATTATTACTAATTTTAATTAATATATAATATTTTTTTTGCTTTATACACAATTTTTAAATTTTGTTTTTCTATTCCATTTTTAAAGGGGAATTTGGTTGTTGTAAGGGGAGGTTTTTTTGTTTTTGTTGTTGGTTTTTTTTTACATTAGAACTAATGTCAAGAACTAAGTTTTGTTTTTTGTTTAATTAAATTTATTTAAAGTTAATTTAAAATTAAAGTTATTTTTTGTTGTTGCTGTGGGAGGAGGTTTTTTTTGCTGATGATTTTACGTTTGGAATAATTTACAATGGCGATATATCCAACAGTCCTGTTGCATCGTGCGGATGATGGTGGTGATGTGGATGATGGTGATGATGAGGATGGGAGTGGTGGTGATGCGGATGATGATGATGAGCGGCCGTTGCTAGCGATGCATATGGCAAATGGGCCAAATGATGATGACTGCTCGCATGATGGTGGTGATGGGGATTCTGCAGCAGGGACAGGGATCCACCAGCGCCGGCATCTGACATGCTGAAACCATTGTTGTTCACAACCACACTGCCACTGCCACCGCCGGCTGTTAGCCGACCCATTATGGCGGCTGAGGTCACCACGGTAGCTCCGCTACCGCAACCATTGTCGGCCGACGCTTGCACTTGATAGCCAGTCAAGTTGTGGTGATGCAGGGCCGCCGGTGAATGTGAGGGCAGGGAATGGGCCGATGAACGGCTACCTCCGCCCGACGAGCCCACCGAGGCAATGGGACTTAAACGGCCCTGGCCATAGGCAAAAGATCCACGACCACTCTCACCATTACCATTGCCCTCCACCGAAGAACTGGAAGAGTTCAGCTGCAAATGGGAGGACAACAATTCGGCCGATTGCTGCAACTGGTGGTGATGGTGCTGCTGATGATGTTGCCCCATAAGCGATGATGGCGAGGGATTATCCTCCAGCTGCTGTTGCTGCTGATGATCATCAGCTAAATGCATTTGTTGTTGCTGCTGCTGCTGTTCATCTTGCTGCTGATTGCTGAGCAATAAACGCTGATTGAGGTGATGGTTGGCGGAGGAGGCAGAATTGGACGTCGAGGACGATGACGAGTTATTGGAGGAGGACAATGTGGGGGCAGGAGGTTGTTGGTTGTTCTGAGGGGTTAGCGATAAGCCACAGGCCGTACTCTCAACAGCTATCGACGACGACGACGATGAGACACTTCTTGAAACCATGGGCAGCGTGGCGGCTGTGGCTGATGCTGTTGAGTGTTGAGCTCCAAATGCCGTTGCCATTTCTCACATATGGGCCAATGGAGCCATGGAACGCATCGACTGCTGATGGTGGTGATGATGGGCGGCGGCGGCTGCCTGATGTTGTTGCAAGTCCGGCGAACTGTTCTGATAGTGCATCAGGTTGCGCTGATGATGTTCAGCGGCAGCTGCTGCCGCCGCGGCCGATACTTGCATGCCGTCGGACAGGTGGTACATGTTCATCAGGTGATTCAGTTCCGGCTGTTGGCCACTCAGATATTCCCGTTTCATGACATGATTATTGTTGTTGGTTATGACAGCGGCGGCTGCAGCAGCGGCGGCGGCGGAATTCTGTTGTTGCTGCTGCTGTTGTTGCTGGGCGGAGGAGCTGTGCATCGGACTGGGTGAGACGGGTTCTGATTTGACGCTGGAATCGCTGGGACTGTGACTTTGGCAGGAGACTTGAGAACCAGGTTGGCCGGAGGAGATGCCGTATGGTGAGCCGGGCTGGGGTTGGGCGCTTCCCGAGCCATAGGGTGAGCCGGGTTGCTGAACATTGCCATAGGGTGAGGTTTGACCGCCGGACACTGTGCCGTACATGCCATAGCCGGAGCCGGCATTCATGTAATTGGCGGCCGCAGCTGCCTGATGCATCTGGCCCATGTCGTAGCGATGATAGTTGCCCATGTAGGCACCGTGTTGACTTTGATAGGCGGCCGCAGCGGAGGGATCATGCATCATATAACCATTGGGCATATAGCCATTTGGAGCACTCATGGGATACATGTCCCGATTGACTCCCGCCGCCGCTTGTTGGGCGGCAGATGAGATCGAATTGGCTGAACTGGCCCGTCCAGTGGGGGCATTACCCTCTGAGGCCTGTAAGAGGCCACCCACACCCATGGGATATTTCTCCTTGGTTTTGGTTAGAGTCTTTGTCTTGCGGCGGGGACGATATTTGTAGTCGGGATGTTCCTTCATATGGACAGCCCTTAGGCGTTTGGCTTCATCGATAAAGGGACGTTTTTCGTTTTCGGACAAATCTTTCCACTGGGCCCCCAGGCGTTTGGAAATTTCTGAATTGTGCATTTTGGGATTGTCCGAGGCCATTTTACGGCGTTGACCACGGGACCAGACCATAAAGGCATTCATGGGGCGTTTGACACGCTCGGCGGCACTTTGGGCAGCTTTGCTGGCACTGGAGGGGTTATTGTTGTTGTTCATTGGCCCACCACCGTTGGAGCCACCGCCTCCGCCAGCAGAACTACCACCTGAACTTAGGGGAGTACTTTGGCCACCCATACCACCGGCGGAGTGATGATGTGAATGATGATGATTTTGCCCCGGTGAAGTCATGTGATGACTGCCAATGCTGGTGTGTGAACTCTGGGTGGGACTCAAGTCACTGGAGCTGTGCAATGGCGAACCGGAGTGATTACCGGAATTACCATTGAGAGTTTGGGCCATGCTGTTCTGTAGAGAGCTGAGGACACTTGTGGTGCCGTTCGGTGTACTGCCCGCCTGGCTGGCCAGATGTGAGGACATGTGATGTTGATGATGATGGCTAAGATGCGATTGGGTCAGATGTGACTGGCCCAGATTCATGAGCGGTCCCAAGGCGCTGTACGGTGAGGCGGCATGGCCATGTAGCGCTGCTGAGGCATGATGTGGCGGCATTGTGGCATGTAGAATGCCACCTTTCATGTCGGATTCCATGGTTAGCATAGTGAGGGGGGAGTTGCAGTTCGTTTGAATTGAATTTTTGTTTTATTATTGAGTGATGGAATTCAAGGAAGTCTGGTGGGGGGTGAGTGTTTTGGCACTTTATTGTGTTGAGTTTCTATGTTTTGGAATCTTGATTTTGAAATTAAAAAAATATTTCGGTTTCTTTCGGTTATTCACAAGTGGTCATGGTGTTCAAAAAAATGATTTTTTATTCATTTTATTTTTCACTTTCAGAATTGGTTTTCCTTATTTTTGTTTGGGTAATTATTCCTTCCTTGTCTTGAGTATTTTGTTTTTTTCTTCTACACTTTGCTGCCTGTTTTCCGTTTTTTCCTTGTGTTTATGTTTCACAAATTTATTTTATTTCATTGCTTTTATTAGTATTTTTTAATGAAAACAAATCTTGCGATTATTGTTTCGTTATTATTTTGCACTTTTCTCTTTGTTTGTTTCTTTTGCTTGTTATTCCACCACTTAGTTGTGCTTATCTTTTGTTTGTTACACAATAATAATAATTTTATATTTTTTGTGTGTTGTTTTTTTTTCCTTTCTTGTTTTTTGATAGATAAGTTCTTTTGCTCTTTGTTTCAAAAGTGTTTATCTTTTTTTTTTGTTGGCTATTCTCTACGACACATAAGTGAGCGACGCGCCGCTGTACGACATGAATCGTCGAATTACAAAACGCAAATGATCTTTTCAAAACGTGATTTCCCGTAAATCCCGTGAAGGAAAACTCCGTAGTTCAATTCAAACTCACACACAGCAGCCACGACACGCACACCGATTCGGCTTACAACTACATACACGCACTTACGACAGCGCACCAACCAAACAACGGCAGCGGTAACGACGACAACGACGAGGAGAGATAACAACAATGTTCGAAAGCTGGTGCAGTCTTGTAAACGAGCGAACAAACGAGTTGGCCGGCTGGCAGGCAGGCAGCGAGCAGGCGACACGCAACTAGAACCTTTTTGGTGTATGACAAGGTTGTGGGCCCTACACAACCAAAGGCCAGAGCCGTACGCACACACACACAGACACAATGAAGAACGACTGGCGGGCGAACGAGCGCTTAGAACGCGTTGGGTTGGATCTTACGGCCAACCAACAATGTTGGCTGGTCGGTAGGTTGTTTGTTGCAACACCTTTAAATTGTTTTAAAGGGCACAAATGTTCTCCCTTCAACCGAACTTGGGAAGATATTTCAAATTTAAGTTTTTTTCTTTTTCATAAATTCACTCTCTATTTTTTTCAAATCCGTTTCAAATTCAACTTTCAAAACGAACGCGGAACTTCACATTCAATAAAAAAAACCAATAATGAAAACGGCGTTTCGTTAAGCGACACGATACAAAAATACCTCCACACTGTACTAGATAGAGCACCTTTCTGTTGATACTGGCCAGGCTTGAAACCTGTTCGAGGTGCTTGAAACACCACAGAGAGGTTGTGTGTTTGACTCGGTGGCTTGGATCGCCGCACACACAACACACACGTTCATACACAGAAGAGGCAACGACACACTATACCTTATTACACCAATCAATCTCTTGCTGCCTTAAACACACACAAGAGAAAAAGAGATGGCAGTAGTCTGTTTATGTTGCTCTCCCAATTGTTGTTGCTGTAAGTTGTGGTTGTTTCTGGTGCTCACAGCCATAAATCATTTCGAACCTGTAATGGTATGTGTAAAATGGGTTGGATTTTGCGCAGCATGATACTATGGTTTGATGGCCAGCCCAGCCAATCACCATTGGGAGAGAAAGAGAGCACAACAGAAATTACAAATCTTGGCATCCCATTCCTGACAACAGCCATACCGGTTGTATGTCGTTGCTGCCTAACTCTGCCAAGTAGTGGAGCAGCTCACGAACATAAATCGATTTCATATGCGTTCGCATAGCTCCCTCGTCCACTACTTTCAGTTGCGAGGGCAAAAAAGCTATGCCATAATTCGGCATTCAGGGCTCCCCGCTCTCTACGCACTTTGTAGAGCACAAGATTTACGCATTATAGCACGGGGTTGCCAAATTTCATGGTACCACTGGAGCAAAGCAGACTATCTCAAGTAAATCCTTAGCCGGCTAAAGCTAACTCTCTCCCAATCTCTGCGAGTGAGTATTTGGTTGGGTGCCACATTTTGGGCAATGGGTGGGCGTTATGTTTTTTTCTTCTTCTCCGTTGGGTGGGTTACTACTGGAAGTGGTGGTGGCACATTATTGGACACAGAGTATGTGTATCGTTCGCTCCCTCAGCCATCTTCTATGGATTTTGGTGGAGGTTTGGATGAGGTTTATAGCATTTCTGTACACAACATATTCTCCAAAAGATACAAATGGTCACCAACACGGTCTCTCTATCGCTTTCTGTATATTTTTGGTTATATACTTATGTAGCTAGGTATATTGAGGAATTTTTCCATGCCACTCATCGTCATCATCCGTCACACATAACATTTGTGGACTTGTGCATTGGTTCGTTGTGGACGCGCTTAGAGAGACTTTTTTCCGTACTTCCACCATTACTCTGGGTTGGATGGTTTTCTTCATTCTTCCCCAGCCCCTGTCTTCTCGTATGGATTTATTTTTTCGTTTTGGTTTAAAAGCTTTTTTCTCCAGGCTACCAAAAAGAAGCAAAAAAAAAACCTTGCCCTAACACATTACTTTGCTAGGGTACTATGTACTAGATGGTGCGAAGTGGGTACGTGAACGTGATAAACAAGTTGAAAATCGCTAAAAACTAACGCGTGACGACAACTACTTCTTATTAACTTAATGGCGAAGCATATAGTAAATGTAATGGAGGAACATATAGCTAAGTAGGTACATGCTTAGTTTTTGGCCAGAAATTTGCTTGATTGCTAATGGTATTTCGTGTACATTATTGCGAAGTTAAATTGGACACATTAGGCAGAAAATATTGGTTATTTATTGAAGGCAACTTAAGGCCTGAATTCTGAATTTTGTGAAAATTTACTGTCAAAAAATTACTGATGACATAAAGCCTTAAAGAGGATTTCCCTTAAAATTCTTCATTGGATTGTAGTTTGGATAGAATATAATTTTCGTATTGTAGATAATTTTCGAATTTTAAGAAAATTATTTTTTTATTTTTGTGCGATGTCTAGCAAGGTCCCATTAGAATAATCAAAATTTGAAGAAATTAAGAAACAGAGTTTACATTTTACTGGAGTTGTTATTATTTTCAAATTTTAGTTTTCGAGGGGAGGTACGTCAAGCAGTTTTTCATGACTGTTTCTGATGTTCGTTTGATAGAAAATTGTCTACTTTCGATCCCGGCATATAGCTTGGTGTCTAAAAACGATATTTTGATAAGGAAAAATTTATCCGTTTCAATGATAGGTATAAACCCTATATAGCTATAAGGTTGAGGGTATAAATCATAATACGTACTCATAATATAAAAGCACTGGATAATAGAAAATAATAATATCGCTACCAAAAGGACCCAAAAATACCATTAGGAGTTGATACCTGTAGAAATCAAGGAGTTGCAGCGTTTTTACTTGGAGTTGCCATAAATAAATAAAACAGTATATTGTGCTTAAGAAAATATTTTAAAACATGTTTGATCTTGCACAGGAATTTAACACTATTTTTCTGGTGACTTATTTGGAAATATTTGTGGATGTAATTACTTAATTTTTTTTTGTGCGAAACCACTTTTTAGGGAAATTAAATGTTAATCCATAGCTTATAATGCGTTTTCTCGGAACAGGTCGTTTTGAGATATGAATCTCGATTGTGCTAAAGGGGATAGAATTTATTCACGAACTCCAAATTTCTTCATTGAAAATTATTTGTGGAGCTCCCATTCAATTCTCAAAATTTCGTATTTCTCATAGATTTGAAGTTTGTATCGCAGTTGTTTTGAACTCAAAAAAAAAAAAAAAACTTTTTGACTCAATCAAACTTATAATACCCCAACACATAGTGTTGTAGGGTATAATAACGAGTAAAGGACAAATCAGGAGATTGAGGATGGAGCGTGGTTTAAAATGTTCGATCTCATCTTAATTTAAACAAGTTAAAAAGTATCAGTCGGATTTGCCGACAGATGTATACCCCCAGCCAATGTCCGATTATTTAAATATATTTTGATGGAACTATTGAGATGTGGAACTATTGAGAAGGAGTTGACCGATATATCCCATCTTCACAACACATCTTGTATCAATGGGAATAATGAGATGTGTGAAATATGAAGAGAACCGGATGCTTATTTCGGATTGTTTGATCATCTTGGTTATTCAAATCTTTGACCCTTTGTGAGGGAGGTACCAGGAGGAATGGTCAGATTTCTACCATCTTTATAACAGATCTTGTACTGATAGAAATATTGAGATGTGCCAAGTCTGAATGGAATCGGATGTTAATTTCGCGTTCTATGAGCTTCATGGATATTCAAAATGTTTACCCTTTTTTGGGGAGGTACTTGAAGGAGTGGACTGATATATTCCATCTTCACACCAGACCTTGGTTTAATAAGAATATTGTGATTTGTAATTTTAAGACAATCACATTTTATAAGAGTTATAATTATTGAAAATGTTGACATTTTGTGGGGGAGGTACTTGATGGAGTGATAGATGTAGTCCTTTTTCTCCTTAAATTGATCGACCTAGAACTGATGCAAATACTAGGATTTGCAAACTTAGAGATTTTTTTTTTTTTTTTTTTGAAAATTTCACCATTTTTGGGGAGATACCAGAAGGAGTGGCCATCTCCGAACACGGTCTAAGTTTGTTAATAATATTACGATGTACCAAATTTGGACCAAATCGGATACTCCCTTAGAGAGTTATCTTGCGCACCAGCCAAACAGACAGAAGGGCGGACGGACGGACATCGCTAGATGGACTCCAAACGTCCTCAAAAGGAATTCGGTCCAAAGAGACCTAGGGTCAAAACCCGTTATTTCGATTAGGCACGTTTTGGCCTTATCAAATGATATACACCCTCTCTAGCCATATGGCTAAGGGTATAAAAAGCAAGAACGGCGTTTATTTCGCCTGAGCCGACTGTTTTATACATTCCACCATCAGAAATATTTAGTTGTGGCCAAATCGGCTATTCGTAAAATGCCTAAAATGTGGATTTTACGTTACATGGGGGCTATACTTACATTGAATATTTTTTTAAAGGAAATCAAATTACCCACCGAAATTTAACATTTTGTTAAAATTGCACTGGTTGATAATAAGGTCTAAAAGCTTTGGAATTAGGAATATCAGGTATTTTTAAAACACTCAACTACATTCAACAACAGATTATAGCATTCATTCATTTACACAACATTTTAGTTCATGGCATGGACTTGAATATAAAAAAAAATTATTATTTTTTTAATATGGATAATATTACAAAATATAGAGCTCAGCTTTCAAAAATTTCCGTTCTAATGGGCTTAATTTTGCCTTGTAATTTGCAATGTTTTAAAGGACCTGAGTGAAGCTAATAATATTATGATGAAAGTTTTGCACAAATTTTAAATGAGTTTTGGCCAATAGCGATGCTAAGAGATTGAGACGCAAACAGTATATGACTTTTAGCCTTGGATGTTATCGATTTTAAAGCCACTTATACTTCTTGGTTCATTTGATGCGTTTAACCCTTTTTAGGTGGCTGAAGACAGATAATATTACTGAGAATAATAAGATATAATGATAATTTCTCTTTCAAGTGGGACTCACGACGATTATTCTTATATATAATCAATATCATTCTCTGAATCGATTTCTAATAAATTTGTTGAGGCATTTGTGCCTTTTCAATTGGGGCTTATATTACCCATTTGGGGCACAATTAACTTAAAATCGGATAAAGATATATATGGGAGCTATATCCAAATCTGAACCTGTCTCGATAAAATTTGTCGAAGGTATTTCTGAGCTGTATTTGATATGTTTCCCCGAATATCGTTGTTACAGAGTGCATATTACGCTATCTCGTTTCCCTTTTTTTGGTACACACAAATTCACAATGTCATAATATCCTGACCACCCTGTGGTGTAGGGTATAAAAACCATCTTATTTTAATGTATCATAATAAATTTGTAGTAAAACATTAAAATTGTTTCCACCACCCTTGTCCTGCAACAAGTTCAAATGAAAAGCAAATGTCAGACTGTTAACACCATAAATGTAAAATCTAATGCAGGCCAATGACTGCCAGCAAATTCTTGCTCATAGAAAAATGTGAGTGAGTGGATGGGATGGATACCATAATATATAACATACAATAGAACATGAAACTTGTATGGTAATCAGATGTTGTTGTTACTGCTGAAGCTGATGCCACAGCGACAATGCCGTTGGCGCCAATGTCATCGATAACAA